AAAAAGAAAACAAGTAAGGAGAGTACAAAAGCTATTTTGTGCAACCAGGCTGAATTTGGACCCTAGTTATATTCCATTATCTGAGACTAAATATCTTAAATTCCATGTAATTTTGCAATCTCTTGGAAGCTGATCTTGGAAAAACTCTTTACTCAAGGACAGTGAGATTTAATCCCTGCTAATTCCTCATTCATATAACCCAAAGTGAGATCCTGAGTTATTTTGTTCATTAGACAAAACTGTGCAATGAATAACACAGGATATTCAGGTATAAAACAAATAGTACATACTTTTTATTAATTATTACTGAATGATGCTCTTTTCTTGAAGTAGGAACCTGAGCATAATCTTTGTTCCATTAATTCACTTTCAAATTTGTATAAACCTCATATTTGAAATTTCTCCTTAAGGAACTTTATTCTTTCATCTACATCAAATGACTTTATGGCATTTTTGCAACTTTGCCATGTTTAATGTTCAGAATAGCCCAGTAGTAATAATATTGGGAAGTTATGAAAGTGTAATAAAACTTTAAAGACATGCCCGAGTCATACCCCCCATATACAGCCATGTGAATGGATTTATTTACTTAAATCAGGCCTATAATAGTTTGGAGCACATTTCTTTGTAACTGATAACTCCAGTTTATGTGAAGTCTTACATTCTATGTTAATCTAACCATGACTGTAAGTGAAGAATGACTTGGATTCTCCTAGAGCACAAACTCTACATAATATAGATGGGTTTCTACTTACATTCACTATCATATTTGCCCCTCTCATCTGAATGAGGATTGCTCATTTCATTGATCTATAAAAACACTGTACAACTATATACTTTCCACATCTCTATCATGTCTTTTCCTGACCTGCAAGCTTTTCCCTCATCTTAAGATTTAACTAAGCCTGATACTCTTTTTTCATTATAGTTTATATTCTATCTCATCTCTAGAGCCTTCCTTGGGTTTATGGGTATTATCCTCTCCATGAATCTGTGTTCATTCATTCATTTATTAATATAACATTTAGGAAGTATTGTGTTCCATAATGTGACTGTTGTATATACCTCACAATTGGTCTATAATATTAAAGAAACACTATACTTCATAAATTTTATTAAACTTCAGTTTGGAATTGTTAAACATCAAAAATATATATCTACACACACCTTTATTTCCTATTCATAATAGACAGTAAAAGCATACTTGATAATTGCTAAAGGCTGTCTTGTATACACTGCCTTTCCATAGTACAGAAGTCCTCTCATTACCAGAGAAAAATGGGGAAGAAGAGGCTCTATTCAGGTTCGGCAACTGGTCATGGCACTTCTAAGAGGACTTGGCAGAAAATCTCTGAGACCCTGAACAATATTTGATCTATTTAATAGGGAATTCGATTAATCAAAATGTATTACATGTAGCACCCTAGAGAGAGACGAAAACCAACAGAACCAAAATTTCATTGACATATCCAGTAGGAGACAACTAAAGTCACACAAGCCCATTTATCACAGACAAAGTTAATGTCATCTTTCCCAGGCCTTCTTTATTGAATCTTAATCTGCTGGTTCTTAGGATATAATGTGAGGAGATTGGTTAAATGCAGTTTGCAGTCCCTTTTCTCAGATGTGATATAAGAGCAATCTCCCAAATGTCAGAGGTGGATAACTTAATGTTGACTCCAGCCCATAATTTTTCCACAATAATTGTAGGAGACATTTGGATGTGGGCTATGAAATTTTGGCTAAAAATGTTTAAAGCAGCAAAAAAGACCATACAGGTTGTCATCTGGATTGATTTTAAGTGAGATGGGGTGGCTCAATTTTATCAAATCAAAAGATTCTATGTCTCCCAGGATCTTATTTGTGCATGGGGAGCAGAAATGTTAATTTTTATTATCAGAATTTGCTTGTAAATTCTTAGTGGTTTGAAAGGGAAAGACCTGGCAGGTTTTTAGGAAAAAAACGAGCTTTCTTAACATTATTTATCATCCCTGGCTTCTTTGATAAGACATGTTCAATACTCCATTAGTCTCTTAATCGGACAAAGTTTACGACTTTGTGTTAGTATTTCCTAAATGAACTCCATTGGGAAAGTGATAAAACTTGGAGAGAGACCAAAGCTACTTGAACTATTCCTTTTTACTTAACTCCAGTAAAGGCAGCAAAAGAGTCCCAGTGATTTTTACATAAAACAATATAAAGGGTATGAGGCTGAGGTATTAGACTTGCTTCAATTATACTAACATCATTGATTACTGGAAATTAATAGTGTTATTCTGAGAAGTTTTGGATTCACCAATTTGAAGAAAATCACAAGGAAAAACCAAAGACCTCTTCCTCTTTTATCTGGATCCTTCATGTTTTTATTTATTTGTCCTCCTCCTTTTCTCCTCGTCTTATTACTCCTCTTATCCTTTGTTTTTTATTGTTGTTGTTGTTTTTCTTTAATTTTCTTTTGTTTTTAACAGGGCTATAGACTGATTTGAGCAAAATACTAGACTAGAAAGCTCCGAGCTCTTGTATTTTCATAGAAACAAAACAAACAAAAACATATCCAGAATCTGTCTATACCAGCTTTGTAAGAACCATGAAAATAATCAAAGCTTTACAGAAATCTATCAAAAACCTAATCAAGAAAAAGTCATCTTCAAAATGGCAGGAAACAACACCATGTTAACTTGCTTTTTCATGCTGCTTTCCTAGTGGGGAATCAGTCTCAGACTCGAGCAACAGCAGACATTTCCCTCATTGTTCCCTCTGTAAACAGGACAAGAGGAAATCTTATTCGAAAAATATTGTGTATGTCTATTCCAATCAGTCAATGTCAAGTTCAGTCCTGAGGGATGGAATTTTACAGAAATATGAGATTATAATAGAAGAGTTTCCATGTATACACTCAAAAAAACCTAAAATTGGGACTCAAAGAGGTACTTGAACCCTCACGTTCATATCAGAGTTATTT